GGAAGTTGTGTTATTTATTAGGGGATTTAAAATGTTTAAAATATATTTGGCTAAGGGATGTGTAGGTGAATTTATACTACTAACTATTGGTCGTACAGGAATATTAACTTTATGAATTTTTGGAACTCCGTAAAAATGTGGTGTTTTACTATTTTGTGGTGTTAATTTTGATCTAATATATGATTTATTTTCCTGACTGCGTGTACTTGTTATGACATTCTGATCTTTCCTGGGCCTCAGTCAAAGTGTGAAGTACAAATTTTGAACATCGTTTATTTCATTACGTTTCGGCGAGACAGCAACGCCATCATCAGATTTAAAATTTACACAAACTCATGATTGGTAAAAATCAACGTTCTTTTAGGTCTTTGCCTTCTTGAAACCGAAAATTTGTCTTTGTACAGACAAATTTAAGGTTTCAAGAAGCAACAGCAACCAAATCGAACCTAAACCAAGCGTTACGAAAAACCTCTTGGACGCTGAAACAATGCATGGAATGGCCATCAAAAGACATGGAACGCGAGTGCGTTTAAATCGCCGTTGCGGTTTCTTTCCATCTGAAAACAATTAACACAAATAGCTGCCTATTTGCTTGGATTGAAAACATTAAAGTTCATATTTAACACGGTTGGTGTTCTGGTTCTTTGACCAATTTGCAAAGCTCGACTGGCCCCTATGTTGGCACCCAATCACCCGTAAAATAGTTAAAGGTAATGAAAGTTGCAACATGTTGCGACCTCCGCATGTCATTTAAACCGCATCCGAATGTTGGTTGCAGTTGATCGAAACCATATAAAAGCCCGCCCACCATCAGTACCGATATTCAGTTGACAAAAATCGGTCAGATTGTGAAACAAAATGCTCAAAATCACCGGACGTTGTGTGCTCCTGTTGAGCTGTGCGGTTTTTTCTGTGCAATCGTTGGAGAAAACCTCAGTCTACATGAAACGATCGGAAGTGAGTGATCAGAAGATGAGCGGCTCGGGATACTCGTATAACGGGCAGGATCAGAAGCCTCAGGAGTATTCGTTCGAATTGGATGGAGGCAACGATGCAGTGAATATCGTTCGCGATTTGGGGTTTGATCCGTTTGCTGACTCTCTGGAAAGGTGACTTTTACATTGCACGAATCCCCAACGGGTTTCTAATCGAATTGCTTTAGCCATGCTGCGCAAACAGTAGCTGTCCCATATTTCCAAGAAGTTCCCAGCAAAGCTGCGAAAATCCCCCTTAAACCAGTCGCTTTTGCCCTCAACGACAACTCGCAACTTTTGGGGTCCCAAATTCACCACTTACCAACCACATATCCGCATATTGATCAATATGGACAATTAGGGTAAGCCTAGTAATTTAATGGAACAAACCAGGAAATTTTTCTGGTGGCAACACATCCATTTTTTTTCAGAATCCTTCCACAGTTTCCCTACGCCCCTGGGTTTCACCATGACCTGAACAGCAACTTTGTAAAATCCGGCGGAAAAATCTACGACGACCTTTGGTCGAAGCAAATCGGAGACAAATTCGACTCTGGTTACAATGTGGTGGACGCCTACAGCAAAGGCCTTAGCGGAAGCTTCGATGACACCTTGGGCAGCTCCTTCTTCGACCAAACCGGCGGAAAAAGCCTTTCGGTGTTTGATAATGCTGCAAACTACGGCCTCAATCAGGCAGCAGGAAAAGTGGCCTTAGGAGGATCGTTTGGGCAAAAGGACGGCCACAACAGAGGGTCGAAGACGACCGGATACCAGAAGGTTTACCATAAGGACGACTATGACAAGCAGCACAAGTTCTACGATAAGGCTGATCGAAGGGGGCATTTCAACAAATATGGGGACTTCAAGTCGGCAGGCGATAGTGGTGCTGGACATTTCGTCAAAGGTGGTCTGCATACTGATGGACAGAACGCCAATAAATACGGCGTTAGTGATGTTAGTGATAAAGGCCATTTTGATGACTTCGCCAAAGGCTTTGACAAGGCCAACGGACAGGAGGGGTATTTCCAGGACTATGCCGGATACAGCAACAAGGCTGGAAAAGCCAGCAGCGGAGTGGCAGGCTTTAGCGGGTGAACCCCACTAGCGATGTATATAAAGAGATTTGTAATTTATTTTAAATAGACTGACTTAATTTAATTTTAAACCGTGTGTGTGGAGACGCTCCTGATTGGCAATCGATATCGATCATAGATCCAGATGAAACAGACCGATGTGGCCGATATCAATTAAAATCGTTCCTGCCGATTCCGGCGACTTCGAACACTCCCTGCCCATTGCACCGGGCACAGATTTATCCGGCAAGTCGTTTTGCTTTTATATTAGTTGTATTTTAATTTATTGCCGGTAGAACGTACTGGTATACAGTTATCTAGGTGGTTTATAACTCTGTCGAGGATCTTACTTCCACATTCTGGCGTATAGTTTATCTTGGCGCGCTGTTACCCGTAGGCTCAGATCTATGGGTTTCACTGGAAAAATTCCGAAAAACCTTTCTGATAGAGCTGCTGCCTTAAATCAGCCGATAATGCAGAGCTTCAAATAGAGACGCATTCATTGTCGCGCTATTAAACCGATACGGTTGTTGGAACTTTGCGCTAGCGCCCATAAAGAAACCAATCGGAAACACTAACTCAGGTCGACTGGTTTGAATCGTACAAGTTCAGAGTGTTTACCAACAACCAATCACAAGGAAAATTAATTTGAACTATTGGTTATTGGGCAGTTGTAGGTAGAAATTTTGAATCAGAAATTCATAGCGGCAAACGCCAAAATTTAGTTTGTATTTAAAAAAGGCACGAATTCTAGATTTAAATGTAACTCAATATTTACCCACCAACTTCTGGATGTGTGAACGCAACTGGGTTTTTACCTGTAACAAAAAAAACGGTTAAAAAAATCGCTGGTGAATGTGAGCAAAATAATGATCTTCCACTACAAAGCACTGGCTACATTGATGTAAATCGAGCATTTTGCGAATAAGCCGATTAGAAAGTCGAAAAATTGGCGCTCGTCTCGCAGAAACGGTTTCTCAGCCAAGCTCTATTTAAGCTAAACGGATATGGGAAATTATTCCTTGAAATTGTTAAAATTTTTACGCAATCGCCATTGAACTGCACGGGGCCCGATGTGAAGTGAACGCATTCACTGCTAATTTCCCTATTAATTGGAAATCTTTAATGACTGTTCCGTTAATAGCATCGCTTTTTACATACGGGGGCAATTATTGCGCCAAGATGACTGACGCAGGTATTTGTTTTTCATCTACCAAAACCTTAATTACATTCCACGATCAACCGTAATAGTAGCACAATTACTTCACAACGTTTCCTTCGATTTTTACATATGCACGGCGTTTGATGCCGTATTAGAGCAAGACAACTAGAGCTCAAAACTGGCCAATCTTTAGAGTTATTTCGCTCTAGCAGGTTGCATTTCTCACTTCCTTCCCTTCGAAATAGTGTATAATTCAAGACATTTAGGGCAATTCCTCTATTTAATAAACACATACACATACGCGAATAAACAAAGTACAATATTTTCTCATTGTGTAACATTTGTTTTATTTTCGGCTAACTAAATGGGAAACTCCAATTTAGCAACGCCACAGTTTCAACACGGTGAATAATTAGGGAAACTTTTCACTCAAATAAGAATAACGCGAATTTGAAGCTTTGCATAAATTAGGGAAAACTAGGCAAGGAAATATGTGGAAACGTTAGTGATGGATTACCAAGAAAAGAAGTTAGTCTAGATAAATGTTGGCTTGCGGAAAAGTGAGGAATCTTGAGAGTATCTTGAGTGATATTTAGAGGCAACGTTTTCCGTTCTGGGCTGATCAGTGCAATGAATAATGCAATTTTATAGTTTTTTTGACTATAATCCGATTTCAATTCTATTCTAATCCAATTGGCGCGGGGTCAACGCATCTCATTTTAGCATCACGTCAAGCCCACACTTCTCAGCGTGAGGAAATTTGAATTTTCTATCTCCATACTTACTCTGTATTTACATACATTTGTCATGTCGCCAGTCACAGGCAAAATAACTCACGCTGAATAACATGAATTACATACTGACAGATCAATACGTCACTAGCCTTAGCTTTATGCATTAATTCTCGATATGTTCGTCCCCCTTTTCATTTTCAGCTCGCAAACTGACAATGTTCGATAAAAACAACTCGCCACTTTGCTGAAAACCAGCTGCTTAACTGCGTTTCATTAATTAATCTGCGGCTTTCGATTTCTCTTCATTGTCCAGGTTTTCCTGGCAATTTTCTCAGGAAAAACTGTCCGAAGGTGGATTGGTATTAATTGAGCCACGTCAACCGGAACGTGTTCTTTTGCATTCTGAAAACAACTCAGTTTTCATTAGGGATCATGCATTGGGCAATTGCATTAAACATCTCGAGAACTCAAGCTCAAGTGAATTTGTTTCTGTGCAGAGTAGCAGATTTGCAATGAAATGTGTGGTAAATTCGCAAAACTCGCACCTTATAAAGGAATAGGTGCAGTCAATTTAGATAATTGCCAGGTTGAAAACTGAGTCTCCTTTCGCACGTCTCGTTTGACTCGCTGAAGGAATTTCGGCTCTTATACAATACACAAGATATATGTTATATACGAGACGTACCGAACAGTAGGAAGCTTTATCTTGGCGTTTGACATTCTTGAGATATTTACAGCCCGAGATACGGATCGCGGTTAAATTGAATTGAATTGCTCGACGCTTATTTTATTGTTCTTTATAACATTATTTAACGCTCACTGAATCGCACTTGCCTGTCAGTAATTACCATTGCCAGTAAGTTTTTGCGCAATTTTGCCTCAGATATTTTAATGCATTAATAAAACCGGTTATCTTGTTAGTCCCATTAGTGTGGCGAAATTCTTTTGACATTCACATTTGAAGCGGAAAATTCACGATGAATGTTTCCGCTGTCCAACTCGACCTAGCTTTTATTTAGTTGTAGCTTTATACCTGTCTGATGCTTGTCCAGTTGCTTTCATTCGGTTATAATTCATTAGATAAGCAAGATGGAAAATTTGTCTTAAGCAGCTTAAGAAAAATCAACGCATTTTTCGTTGCAAATTGTTTATAGTAAGTTGCTTTTTTGAAAAGCTCAATTAATTTTCGGTTATTTACGAGAAATCTAAAGAGGTTTCAACGTTTTATATGAAAAAATGCTCTGGCCAGCACTAACAAAGTGGGGTTTTCAAACAATCAACAAAAATTTCAAGTGCACGATTTTTTTAGTTTGGAAAAACCTACTTCTAACTTTTGGATATTGACGCGTTTTAAGCCGCAGCTAAAATTAACTACCAGTTAACTAACTAAATGTTTTAAAACCACACCTAGTTTTGAACGTTTGCATTCTGTAAAGGTTTTTTTCAAAAGGCTTGAAAGTTTTTAAAAATTACCTGAAGGGCTGACAAAGTTTCGACTGTGTGAATTTTGAAAATCCAGCCAATGCCAATGAGCAACCAGAAAAATCGTGTTTTTTGAAACAGATCCAACTTTAACAATTTAATAAAATTACCTGATGGACTGGTAAAAGTCGAATTTTCAACGTAATAAGATCAAAGCCTTTGCAAACCACAGAAGAAAATGCAATATTGTCGCTTTTCTGCTTTAGCTGTAAAAATTTTTAAAAATTTTCTTGGGAAAATAGGCAAATCAGCAGAGCAGGCAGATTCAAGACTGACAATTCTGATAATATTATCTGAAGGACTCATACAGGTGAATTATTAAACAACATTAAAGTAAAACATTTAAAAATCACTGAGCAATTAAAAACAAAAAACTGAAATGTAATATAGCGTAATTTGTTTTCTATCTGTCTGGATTTTTGCAAAAATTAAGTGCTTCAGATAAACTTTCTACAGGGTGGCAAATGAAACAATGCGAAAGTACCACATGCACTAAAAAAAAATTTTTTTTTGGATTTCAATGCCAAATGTATAAAGATAACGTTTAGATCTCGAAACGGTTTTCGAAAACGGTCTCAAAAAATCAACTTTTTAGTCTCGCAGCAGCGACAATTTTTTTGATCTTGAATGGATTTTCACGATCTTGAGCTCATGTTGAAGGTACAACTTCATAGACAATTCAAAACGAAAATTCGATATACAGAGTTGCCTGAAAAATGATCCCAATCACAATTAGCCTCAAAATCTGTGATTCTGGCAGACTTTCGTTCATGCAACCCAACCCGGTAGGAATGTTGATTTTCTTCTGAATTCCGGCAACACCAGAAAGGAGATTTTTTAAGACCACTCTGTAATAAAACCAATCTTGCATTGTTTCTCTTGCTACCCAGTGAAAAAATCACCTGAAGCACTATTTTCTTGCAAAAACACGCATTAACCGAAAAAGAGTTGTGCTAAATATCGCTTCAAACAGAAATAGAGTCGCTCGCAACAGACAGAACAACCATTACTATATTCATTCAACAGAGTTCTGAGAACAGCTCCAACAAAACTAACCGGAATACTGAAAAAATTCTAAATTATTTTGTGCAAATTTTCATGCTTCATTTAGTGCAGTCTAATGGCGGTTGACGCCTCAATTGCTCAAAGTTTCCAAAAACCTCATCATTCAAAAGCGTTTTACAATCGCTGTTACAATTAAAACTGGGAGTTTCACCCTGAAGCATAATAATCAAAGTGAACCAACTGTGTTTTTGAGAAACACTGGTTTAACGCTCTGTCTGTTTAGACAAGCTATAAATTGAGCAAAAATTCAACCAACAAAATGCAGCAGGAATGAACATTTTGAATCCGTCAAATTTAATTAATCAATTGCTGTTTAGTCAGACAAAGCCTTAAGCTATCCATCTACTAATAGAACTGCGCAAATCCGGTCCAATCCGGCAATTTAATCGTTTAAATGCATTTTGAACATAAAAACTGTATTCGAGCCCCAATGCAACCAACGCCCGGCCCGTCGCTATTCAACTCGCACTTAGCATGGGGAACAATGTGGAGCTTCTTCAAATAAAAATGCATCCTGCATCGCCCCCGAAAACACAAGATGTGCACTCTCTGCAACTAAAAATGAAACTTTATAAGAGCTTTTATCCGGCTCTAGGAAAAATCAATACTGGATCAAGGGCATTTCCTACCCTCAGACGGGAC